ACGCCCCCACATATCTACGTCACTATGTGGTAAGATTTGCATAACACCGCCCAAATGTGCACGCAGAGAAAGAAGGCGTAACTTTTATTCTCGCTGTAGTATTAAACCATATAAAACGCCGCCATGTCATGGAGACACTGTGTGGTTTGCTGCGAAAGAAAAAGTACTTTGTTTGGCCTTCCAAAAGAGGACATAACAAGAAATATGTGGCTGAGGTTTATTTACAACACTGTCCCAGAGCAGTACAACACAAATATTCGAGTTTGTGCTGCGCACTTTACGGAGGATTGTTTTCTGAACCTGGGAGAGTATGAGGCCCGCTGTGCAAAAAGGCTTTTCCTCAAAAGTGGGGCAGTTCCAACTTTACAAGGACAGTCTGGCGCTTATGACTCACAGCCTGTAAGTATGTTTCCTTATTTAATTGACTATACAAACGCGAGTCTGAGCAGTGTAAAGTAAGTTAGCGCTGGTTGTTTGTTGTTTGTACTATCACAAATGCAGACATGATTTTTGTTTACATAGCATAGTCTGCCAAGCGCCCGCGCGACGCATAAAAAGACAATATAAATCATTATAATCAGTAATTATATCCCCACTGGATGCAACAAATGACTCGGTTGTAATGTGTTGTATTGTCTTTCTCTGGTCGCGCCGGGACACGGCGTCACACTGGCCTCTCAAGAAGGGCAGAGGCACGCGCCCATTGTCCTCATGTTCAGGTGCCTGTCACATCCTGTGATTAATTATAGTAACATTTAGCTGTGATTCCACCTTTTTCCTCTCTCACACATGTACTCAGTATGATGTATACGGTTGTGTATATGTCAGAAGTAATCGTGACACCGTTAGTTGGTTATACGCACAATTGATGTAACTGTTTTGGGTATTTCTATCTCAGCAGGCCCTACGTTCAGAACAATTTTCCACTTCATCCCGAAGTCATGACGCTGAATGTCAAACGGACAGTATAGAAACACTGCCTGCTGCGTCTCCAAAAACGCGATCTGTTGGCACACAACTATCTTTGGGTACACTAAAGGAAATGCACGCACGGAGCAAAGGTATTTTACACACAGTAACAGTGTTCATGTATTCAATTATAAATGCATTAATTATAGTTGTGTATTACTGGAAACTTGAATGTAAGATTGTAGAAAATCCTGTGAACCAAAGTGTTGCATGTTAAACGTCAGATATTATGTTTTAGGACGACATTACAATAAAACTTTGTGTAAAAATACAACATTTTTCCTTTTAATTGCAGGCACCCAGGCTAAAGTTTCTTCCTTAGATGTAGGTACTGAAACTACTCCCAGTTTCCACGTAGTACCATTGTCTTCAACTCCCATCAAAGCCCCTCCATTCACACCACACAAAAGACCTTGTCTTGAGTTGGATGAAGAGGCATACACAGACATTTCTGAAAGCATACCTGAACCACAAGAGTCCACATATAACCCAGACGACTCTGGTGTTACGGAGGAGTCCGGATTATGGTATGTTTTGGACCTCTTTATAGTTTGTTCTATTTTATAAGTTATTTAAGCAATTTGTAAACTTGAATGTGTGAAGTGATGTGACTTGAAAGAGTAAAATTTCTTGTATGTCTAGTTTTAGGGAACAGACCACATACAATGTGTCAAAATACATTGTTTTTGAAAGCTGCCTACAAGAGCTATTTGAAAAATGTCCACTTTGCAAAACAAAGTGTGATGCTCCTTGTAGACGAATGGGCAGCTATGTGTCATTCACCCAGGACTGTCCAAAGTGCAGTTATCACAGAAAATGGGAGAGTCAACCAGTCATTGGAAGTACACCTGTTGGAAACCTACTGGTGTCTGCTGCTACATACTTCTGTGGTGCGTCCTTCATTCAATTTGAAAAGGTACTTTTAAGATCATATTACCCTTATGATCATATTTCCATGTCAATTACTATTGCTATGTGGTTTTTAATGTGTATCATAATTTTTTAGATTTGCAAGGCCATGCAGCTTAAGATCATCCACTATGATGCATTTAGGAGGCATGCTAGGAACTACCTAGAGCCTGCTGTAATACACAAGTGGACCTTGGATCAGAGAAATCTTTTCACAAAGCTGCAAGAAGGGGGAAAGGTTGCAGTTGCTGGAGATATGAGGGCTGATACACCGGGTAATTTTTTATTTAAAAGTAAATATTTCTTGGTCTGGAGTCCTCAGATTATATATTATGTATTAAATTGGACTGACAAAACCAACACAACACAGCAAGAGTCAGGACTGGTATAGATGCGATATGGGGAATAATTCATATATATGTATGTTTTTTTTTTTTTATTAGGACATTCAGCAAAATACGGCAGCTACACCTTGATGCACCTGGACAGCAACACTATTCTTGACATGCAGCTTATTCAGGTAAACGTATTTTATATCATAAACTTATTTTATTGTTACGTTATTGTTACAATATTCAATTGTAGGTTCATGCCTTTTTAATTTCATTTATACCCAGAGCAACGAGGTAGGTGGTAGCTACCACATGGAGAAGGAGGGCTTGAAGCGTTGTCTAGATCATCTGGAGGCTAACGGTTTGGCAGTGGAATACATCATAACGGATCGTCATCCACAGATCCAGAAGTTTCTTAGAGAGCGCAACATTGTACAGTTCTACGATGTGTGGCACTTCGAAAAAGGTGACTATTAAGCTTTGTGTATTTTGTGACATACAGTGCTGTGTAATGACAAACTTTGTGCGTACTTTTGGTTTTGACTGGTTTATGAAGGTAATGTGTTATATACTCATACACCACATTAATACTTTTTTACAGGTTTGTCTAAAAAGTTGGACAAACTCTCACAAACAAAGGGTTGCGAAATATTGAAGAAGTGGTTGCGCAGCATCAAGAATCATGTATACTGGAGTGCTAGGTCGTCTACTTCTGGTCCCGAGAAGGTGGCCAAATGGACTTCCCTGCTCAACCACATCCAAAATATACACATCCATGAGAACCCTGACTTCCCGAAATGTGAACATACAGACCGAGTGTCCAGAGATCCTGAAAAATGGTTCCAACCAGGTATGCTTCAGATTTTTCAAATATTTTATAATGTGACAAAGTACAGTCAATTCAGTGATGCACATCAGAATTTTCATCAGCTGTTACTCCAGTTTTCAGAGTCATATGATCCTTCAGAAATCATTTTAATATATTGATTTATTACCAGTGTTGGAAACCGCTTTCCTGCTTTATATTTTTTGGAACCTGTGACATTTTGTTCAGAATTCTTTGATGAATAGAAAGCTAAAAAGAACAGCATTGATAATAAAGCAACATATTGCAATGATTTCTGAAGGATTATGTGACACTGAAGACTGGCGTAAAGGCTGATGAAAAATCTTGATTAGCATCAATGAAATAAATTACATTAAAAAAACATTGAAAAACTTTTGAACAGCTGTGTGTGTGTGTGTGTGTGTGTATATATATATATATATATATACACACACACACATTACATGAATTTTATCTATAGATCTAAATAAAAATAGACTATAGATATACAGTATATGATCCAAAGTAACTAGTAACTAACTACTTGAATGGTTTCTTTATCATATCCATTTTTACTCTTACTCGAGTAACTATTCAGACTATTACTTTTACTTTTACTTGAGTAAATATTTCTATAAGTACTTTTACTTGAGTACAGTTTTGTAACTCTACCCACCTCTGATTACTAGTAATTTATAATTTTATAATAATGTTTCTTTTTGCTATTCAAGGGTCAATGCCTCTTCAAAAACTGGAAAAGATCCTCAACAATAAGCGAGTCCTAAAGGACGTGGAAAAGCTCAGTCATCATTACCAGACATCTTCGCTAGAGGCCTTTCACAGTGTTATCCTGCGTTTTGCCCCCAAGAATGTCGTTTTTCCTTTCATTGGAATGATGTGCAGGTATTATATATTATGGCATGCAATACAGTATGTACAATTTGTATATGCAAGATTTACTGGACGTGTGTAATGTTTTAACTAATATGTTATTCTTGTACTGCAGGTTGTACCTTGCAGCAATGCACTACAATGAAAATGGTGACCGTGAGCAGGCAACAACAACTTCAGGACAACCTATGTACAAGGTTGTTTTTCCAAAGTCAAAGAAGGGTGAATGCACTGCAAAGCCACTTAAAACAGCCCCTTCATATGGTATGTTATATAATTTTTTTTATTTTCATACACTTACAAATACACTTTACACATAGTGATGCATTTGATATGTTACTAAGACTTTGGTTGTCGATCAACAATACATAATAAAAATTCCTTTTGTACCCTATATTTACAGACTATGTAGCTGACTTGATGAAGCTGGTCTTTGAAGAGGTGTTTGTAGACCCTGCACCATTTGTAGAGGAGCTAAATCAAATCCCCATTCCTGCGTTCCTGTCCTCTCAGTTTGAAAGACCTTCAAAGGAGGAAGTTGTTGGCCGCCATGTCTCACGCTTCAGTCAAGGGACGGTCGAAAGCCTACAAACTGTCCATCCGGATCAGGAAACTCCTGCCGAATCCGAAGCACAACACAGGATGGAAGAACAACTCTGACATTCTGTCCTAAATAGCCCCAGCACCAGCTTACAAAGCTTCGATAGGCGAGATATCGGTACCGCCTGTAAATACAGATGTTAACACTAATATATATTTGATTTCACTTAAGAAAATGTGTACATATTATCCTTTTTATTTTTCACAACGAAAAAATATTTTGAAGAAAAACCTTCAAGGGTTAATTTTTTATGCTTTTGTGTATTGAAATCAATATTTTGTTTATTTTGCTTTACAAATTAAATAAACAAGATTTTAAAAAATTACTCTTCTTCTGTTCTTCGCCTCACGCGTCCAAAATCAGCTCTGTAAATGTTATGAATGTTCTGGAGGGTGTAAGGATTTAAACAGTTAGGTTCGAAGCCTGGGTGGTGTGTCATGCATTGTAGAGGGCCTGAAACCTGGTTCATTCGCCTCACAACCTATGGAAGACAAGACACTAACTATTTATAATCTAGTCAAAAGAGTTAAAGCAAGTATGTGAATGAATGAAAAATAAAATTTGTGTAATACATAAATGCAAAGTAAAGACTTACAGTACCTTTTGTATTTCCAAGCAGCATACATGTTCAACTTCACTAGGCATTTTATTACAGTTTTTACATTTGCACCTAAACAAAAAAGGTAAGAATTCATCTATGCTTTTAAACTCTATATTTTATAATTTCATGATAAAGTCAATACAGTGATGACAGTTCTTATAACGTTGTGTGTGTATATATATATAGAGAGTTTTACCGTGCTGACTGTCATAACTGAACGTGACGTGCTGTTTGAATGCTGAGCGGAGAATGACTGACAGCTGCAGCAGAAGGAAGATGAGTTTCTGTAAACATCAATTCTGTCCCTCACATTAAGATATGGAATGGCTTCGGATGATATAGCAGGGCTCCAGACTGCAACCATTTTTTCTGCCTGTGGAACTAAATTTTGTGTGCGGTCGCACTGGCGCTACCACCGCGCTGGTCAACTCATAAGCGCTACAATTTCTGTTGCATATGAGAAACGGCAAACGAAACTGAAAGCATAACGAAACAGTGCTTAGAGAGTATACTCGCCGCGTCAGCACGAGCGCGAAGCTGCGTGCAGCATAAACGACGCGCATATTGAGGAAACGATGGATGGTTTTCAAGCGAAAGTCAAGTAAAAGACCGCTTCTTAAACCAGAGAAGGTGAACATGCTGGTATTCTTGTGGGGGGAAAAGAACATGCAAGCACTGTCACGTTAGTTTTACTTTTCTTTTTGTTTTCATTTTTGAAAAGCTTGTTATCTTTACTGTTTACCTCACATTACGCTATGGAGGCTCAGTTTTATTTATTAATTTATTTGATTCCTCAGTGTTTGCTAAACGTTCTGTAATTTATTAGTCTGTATATAATACAGCATGTGGTGTGTGCCATGCCTCATCTTATTCGTTCTTACTGATTTATTGTTGTTGTGCTTTTTAATTAAGAATAACAATGAATCCATCTTTTGTTTTAGTCTTAAAAAATGAAAGGTGTGTAGATGTATGCAAGCAAAACA